GCTTCAGATTCTGTGTCTCCCCTTCTCTCTCTGCCCCTCCCCACCTCACGCTCTGTCTCTCAAAAAATGAATAAACGTTAAAAAAATTTTTTAAACCATTTTAATGATTTGTCATTTTAACTTTTTTCAATATTTTACCATCACAATTTTTTTTAATTTAGACTTATAAAAGATTTCTTTTTAGAAAACATTAAGAAAAGGTAAGAGTTGAACAAAGTTTTGTTCCTCTTTAATAATTCATAAAATGCCATAACAGGAATAAGTTTAAAATGTTAGTTCTTTATCCATCAATCTGGCCTAATTAATGAGGTTCACAAACTGTCTTTATTCTGATTACAATTGTTTCCACTAGATACCCTTTCTCATGTCTATAAGTAATCTACATATTTTCGTTCAGTTTTTACTAAAGGGAAAAAGTAGAGCATCTTCAGGAAAGAACTCTATTTAGCATTTTTCCCTTTAGAAGGAACCATGCAAACAATAATCCTTGCTTCTTTTGAGTCAAATCTGGAAAAGAATCCTGGATGTCCCTCTAGTGGTGGTCCTATATCCCACAAAATTTGATGAGCACTGATAATGTCCCATTTTATGCTGATACATTGGTAACCTAGCAATCCTGTTTATGTTTTTCAAAGCAGTCATCCTATAATGATAAACAATCTAGATTTTGAAAGTTTTAAGACAAACCACAACCACATTCTAAAATTTCAGCAATGTGAATACAAATTCCATTTCTCTGAGAGTAAACTAGCCAATTTGGGGTCCTTTGCTTTCCAAGCGCTAAGTATTTCTGAGTAGTTGTGATTCAGTGTCCTCAGTTCTGTGAGCCTCCCTATGAGACGAGCAAAATGCTGTAGGTCTTCTGGATGATAAATTTTTGAATATTTGTATAAAATCTGTAAAACTGGTTCTTGTAAATTTTCCACATATTGCTTATTTTTAAGGCATGGACGATCTGAAAAACATCATCATATACATCTTAATGAACACTGGAAAGTGGTAAAAGATAGCAAATTCATTGAAAACAATACAGTTTGTAAATAATAAAAATAGCAAATATTTACTGAACCCTTAATATATGCCAGATATTACACTAAGTAACTTATTTCATGCAATGTCTTATTTAGTCTTCAGAGTACACTATGAGGTAAATTCTATTATTACCGCTGTTTTTTGGACAAGCTTCTTAAGATGTAGAGAAGTCAAATAGGAAGAGAAAGGTCAGTAAGTGGTTGTAAGAATATAAAAGCAAGTTTCAAGCTTACTTGAAACTTAAAAAGATTAATTTCCTCCAGGTCAACAATAAGTAAAAGGTGAAGCTTCTTTTTTTATTTATTTATTTATTTTTTAATGTTTTTATTTATTTTTGAGAGAGAGAGAGAGAGAGCATAAGCAGGGGAGGGGCAGAGAGAGAGGGAGACACAGAATCTGAAGCAGGCTCCAGGCTCTGAGCTGTCAGCACAGAGCCTGACACGGGGCTCAAACTCACGGACTGTGAGATCATGACCTGAGCTGAAGCTGGCCGTTTAACTGACTGAGCCACCCAGGTGCCCCAAAAGGTTAAGCTTCTTAAGTACCTAGTTATAAAAATAAGAACCGGGGCGCCTGGGTGGCGCAGTCGGTTAAGCGTCCGACTTCAGCCAGGTCATGATCTTGCGGTCCGTGAGTTCAAGCCTCGCGTCGGGCTCTGGGCTGATGGCTCAGAGCCTGGAGCCTGCTTCCCATTCTGTGTCTCCTTCTCTCTCTGCCCCTTCCCCGTTCATGCTCTGTCTCTCTCTGTCCCAAAAATAAATAAAAAACGTTGAAAAAAAAATTAAAAAAATAAAATAAAAATAAGAACCAACCAAGAATTTCTTAATGCCTAGGCAACATTTATTTATCCAGGCATTTTGGTAGAGATACAGCAGTGAACATAAACAGACACAATTTCCTGCCCTCATTAAGCTTATATCCTGAGTTTGGGAGGAGTGGATGAGAAAAGAGACATATACACAATTTAAATAAAAATATAATATGACAATGATATGTGTTACAGAGACAAACAGAGAAAGGGATAAGAATTTAGGGGGGGAGGCACACTAGCTATTTTTAAAAGGATAATCAGAGATAGGATGACATTTAGCAGAGATCCAAGATGAAGGAGGGAGGCATGTAGCTATTCTGGGGAAATAGCTTTCCAAGGATATTTGTCAAGTACAGTACAACCTGTGACAGGAGACTGCTTGACATTTTCAAGTAACAAAATGTATCAAAAAGTAATGTGGGAAAAAAAAATGTGGCTGTGGTGGTGTAAGCAAAAGGAATAGTAGTAGGCAATAATGGAAAAAAACTGGGCTTTAAGCTATGTAGAATAGGAAACCATGAAAGGGTTATGAGCAGAGAAGTGAAATGATCTGGCCTATGTTTTAAAAGAATAACTCTGGTCTCTATATAGAGACTAGACCCTAGAGAGGAAAGGGCAGAAACAGGAAAGCAAAAAAGGACACTAGTTTGAATTAGGGTGGCAGGAACAGAACAGTAAGACATGGTTGAGTTCTGGATATATTCTGAGGCTAGAGCCAACAGGAGATGTTGCCTTTTTGATATGGGTTCTTGGTTTGTGCAACTTGAAGGATGGAGATGCCATTTAGTAAAGATGGAGGAAGAATATAGGAGGATCGGGGAGAGATCAGGAGTTCATCCTGGGATAGGTTAAATTTGATATGCCTTACTGCAGGTTGAAATCTTGAGTAGGCTATTTAGTGGAGTTAGGGGAGCAGTCCAAGTTGGTATATAAATTTGGGAGTTGGCTGGGTCGCCTGGGTGGCTTAGTCAGTTGAGCATCCAACTCTTGATTTTGGCTCAGGTTGTGATCCCAGGGTCATGGGATTGAGCCCCACACATCAGGCCCCATGCTCAGCTCAGGCTCAGCAAGGAGACTGCCTAAGTTCTCACTCCCTCTGCCCCTCCCCCACTCACTCTCCTACGCACACACGCGCTCTCTCTCTCTCTCTCTCTCTCTCTCTCAGATAAAAATATTTGAGAGTTGTTAACATGTAGATGGTGTTCAAAGTCATGAGATAGGATGAAATTTCAGAGGAAGTGAGTATGGAAGAGAAAAGAACTGAGCCTTAGAACACTCTTAGCATTTATCAGTGTGAAAGATGAGGAGGAGTCAACAAAGGAGATGGAAAGAACAGTCATTGAGGAGGAAAATCAAGAGAGTGTGATGTCCTGGAAATTAAGTGGGGAAAAAATTTTTTTTCAAGAGGGAGGGAGTGACCAACAGAAGCCAAGTGATGAAAGTGTTCCAAGAAAGAAGGAATGATCTGCTCTGTCAGATGAAGTTGATGATGGGTCAAGTACAATAAGGACTAAGAATTGACCACTGGAATCAGCAATGCCAGATTACTAAAGATCTTGACAAGTTATGGCAGAATGGAAAGAAGGGGACAAAATCTGACTGCAGTGGGTTCATGAGTAAATGAGAGAAATAAAGGCAGGAGCACAGACAACTCAAAAAGTTTTTTTTTCTGTAAAGTAGAACAGAGAAATGGGAGAACAGCTGAAAGGGGATTATAGGTCAAGAAGGCGTTTTTTGAGATGCAAGAAATTATAGCATGTTTGTAAGCTAAAGAGAATTCTCTCAAGGAGAAAGAGATTTTGATGAAACAAAATTGTTACATTTGGCATCAGTGAATAATGTAATAACCACAGACATCATGATTTGATTGCCAAACTTAATCCAAATTTTTACTTTTGAATGGTTTTTACCTGAAAAAAACACAGTTGTTGCTGCAAGCAGAGCATATTCAGTATTAGTAATATTAAGCTCACTCATTCTTCTGTAGAAGTAAAACAATGTGTTAATAAATTCTTCAGCAATACCTAAAAAGATTAATATCAAATGTATTTTCGTCAGAACATAGTGCAGAATCAAACATATTGTCATTATCATTTTTTCTTAAAGCAGAATAATAAAATAAAACATTATATCTGACCAATTTTTTCCACCCATTATATTTTGTATGATATGTAATATTACCAGTCAGTGTAGTAGGAGGACAGTCTTCGTTGCAAAAGGTTTCCATAGAATAAATAACACTTCTATTAACACTCTGATTGTGACAATTCAGTGAGTGATCTGAATGATCTGATATTCTCATAGTACCTAGTAACAGGGGAAAACATAAAGTCTGATTTTTGAAAAAAACTTTACACAGATAGTAAATCCATTCTCTCTAATCTGTTAGGAAACATTCCCAACAAATGGTAGATTTATAATTTTTATTACTGAAACAGGAAGTGAGATTAATAGTTTAGATTTTATATAAATTTTGTGTAGAAAACCTTCCAAAAAGATTTTTCTTATGATGCTATATAATAAAAATGGTTTACTTTAAAAGAAAAGCAAAAGCTAGACCAATGAATTAGAAAAGCTATTACGAAATTCTTATTACTACACTAACTAGTAAAACAAAAATATAATAAGAAAAATAACTCAATGTGGTATAATTTGTTGCTGTATTTAATAGTAACTGTTAACAGTAAGGTTATGTTGGCCGGACTTTTTTACTTTCAGAAGCTGACGAAAGACATTCTTTCAGGCTGTAAAGTTGGGCCCCGTGAAGAAACATCACTTCAGTTTTTGATCCTTTACGTAATGCAGTCTGGTCCTCAGTTGTCAAATTTTCAAATCCTTTAACAAAAGATCACATAATTGTTTGAAATCAATAATGAAAAGATAATTTTCAGGTATAAGATTTAGTATTTTTAACTATCCATTTAGTTATAATATAAATCCTAAATGTTTCCTTAGAATAATCACAATTTGTAACTTCAAATCTAAATAAAATTCTTGATTCCACATGATAATATGTTGGAGCACTTTCATCAGAACTAGATAATAATACTTTCATATGGCAAGAGCAAATCAAACATAGTTTAGCCTCAAAGAATTTATTTTTACAGTGAGTTATCTATATATGTAGATAGGTAAGTTTTGGCCAACTGTACCTTGATTTTTTCATACTGTACCGGCAATTTTGTTTGTTTCATGTTTTAGCTAAAGTTAAAAGATACAGTCATATTATTTCTCTTGTTCCTAAGTCCTTGGAGTCATTTGAATATTTTAAAATATTTATACTTTCAACTACCTGATTGTTTAAAGCAGACAAAATGAACCATTTCCACCAGCTTTGCTGGAAAAATAGAGGTTTTTGTTTTCCTAAATGGTCCCCTTCCTTTAAAATAGGAAACTTAAAAAAAAAAAAGTGTTGGGGCGCCTGGGTGGCTCAGTCGGTTATGCGTCCGACTTCAGCTCAGGTCATGATCTCGCGGTCCATGAGTTCAGGCCCCACGTCGGGCTCTATGCTGCCAGTTCAGAGCCTGGACCCTGCTTCAGATTCTGTGTCTCCCCCTCTCTCTGCCCCTCCCCTGCTCATGCTCTGTCTCTCTCTGTCTCAAAAAAATAAAGCATTAAAAAAAAAAATTTTTTTTAATTAAAAAAAAGTGTTAATTTTTTTTCCAAAGGTGAAGTGATTACCTGGGAGTCCCTTGGTAAAATCCACTAACCCCTGTAGGTGTAGGACCATGGACTCCGAGAGTTGCAAAAAGCTCAGCTCAGGATTTGCATATTTCTGGAGCTAGCCAGCAAAAAGAAATAAGGTTAATAGATTTTTTTCTTTTAAGTAAATTAAAATGTTTAACTTTTAAATTACAAGTTTAAATTTTTAACTTTCACATTGACACTCTTATTTTCTAACATAATTAGTTATAAATTATTTCCTGCCAATAATGAACACATACAAACATCTTTGTTTCCTCTAAAGGACTTGTGTATTTTTGATGAGCAGCCACAATGTCCTTAATGAGCTGATGTTCCTCGTGAGTTAGTTCCATGCTCTCCTTAATCTGTAAGAAAACATGGGGGAGGGAGGAGAACTATAATGAATTCTTATTAAACAAGACATCATGTCATTAAAGAAACAAGAAATTTTATAAGAAGAGTCTTGCCACTTTTCCAGATCTAGTGGTGGATGATACAAGCTTGTTGTCTACTTCCTCTTCCACTTTGATGCTAGAGGAAAAACTATTCTTCTGCTTAAAATTCTTTCGAAGTCTCTTTGATTTGCATTGGATTTCTGTGAGCAAACCTGTGATATTACAAAATTCATATAAAATGTTTCAGGTATGGCAAATAACATTCTAGGATTTGATGAAAATTGTCATACTGGATACATATATAATCATAGACTTGTCTTTTCACAAAGAATCTTTCTTTTATGGCAAGCAGCAATTAAATTTACTACATTACTTTCTCCTTTTCCTTCCATCACTACCTTCTACTTAAAAATACATAGTTAGCCTATGGGCACCTGGGTGGCTCAGTTGGTTGAGCTTCCAACTTCGGCTCAGGTCATGATCTCATGGCCCGTGAATTCAAGCCACGCATCAATCAGGCTTTGTGCTGACAGCTCAGAGCCTGGAGCCTGCTTCGGATTCTGCATCTCCCTCTCTCTCTGCCCCTCCCCCACTCGCACTGTGTCTCAAAAAATAAATAAACATCAAAAAAAATACATAGCCTAGACATAAATTAAAAATTAATTTTGCATCTCCAAACTATAAGTTTAGACCTTTTTATGTCAGAGAAATATACACATTAATTAGATCTTGGAAGTAATATAAAATATCAATTGGTATAGCAGTTGAACTAACTACCTTATCCATGAGCTTTTTTCTTTGATTTTTATATAAGGTCAAGAGAATATTTTGTGATTTTTCAAATGAGCTAAGTCAATTTTTTCCTAACAAGACAAGAAAATGGTATTTTGTTATGGCAGCCCGAGCAGTCTCAAGACAGGGATAAACTAAAGGATTCAGGCTGGACAGCATAACCTTAAGATCTTCTCCAACCCTAGAATCTTAAATAGGAATCCTTTCGCTCAAAAACTTTGAAGAGTTTGGATTTTATTATAATAAGCTGTATAAAAAAAAACAGGATACTGCATTGGTATTTATTGAACAAGAATGTAACTTAATAAAAATTGAAGAATATTATAGCAGTGGAAGGTAGATTGAACTAAAAAACAGAAAATGAAGAAATAGCCATAAAATTAATATAATAGTATAAGTGCAAGATGATAAGAGTTTGTGCAAGATTAGACATGAGAAGAAAACCTTGATAGTACCTTACTAAGAAAAATGAAATTTTGAAATCACCATGAGATATTGAGCCCTGGGAAATAGGAGAAATTGAGGAAATAATGCCAAAATCTTAGTGCTACTCTGAGGATTAAATGACATCATGTAAGTTATCAGCTAAAAACTCAGTGAACATATCAGGAACCCAAACAGCTTAGGTACTCTTCTGCCTGTTGAGTTGGGTTTTGACACCTATGGGTTGTTAGTAGGCTCTACTTCCCTATCATGGTATCATGTAGGCTTGTAAAGATACCAGACCAAAGAAGGGGAACTACCAATTTAAAATTCTGCTCTTTTGGGGCGCCTGGGTGGCTCGGTCGGTTGGGCGTCCGACTTCAGCTCAGGTCACGATCTCGCGGTCCGTGGGTTCGAGCCCCGCGTCGGGCTCTGGGCTGATGGCTCGGAGCCTGGAGCCTGCTTCCGATTCTGTGTCTCCCTCTCTCTCTGCCCCTCCCCCGTTCATGCTCTGTCTCTCTCTGTCCCAAAAATAAATAAACGTTAAAAAAAATTTTTTTTTTAAATAAAATTCTGCTCTTTATAGATACATTATATAACTTTAGGTTAAGTAATATGGCAGTACAAGGATTTCCAGTTAAGAACATAAGATTACTGGCAAAATTAGAGCAATATAGTATAGAACGGGGTTTATGGAAATAATTACCTAGATTGGTTACTGGTCATCCTAATTTATCAGTTGCTAGAGAAATAGCTTAAATCTAGACAACTATGTTACAATTCAAAATGACAATCTGAGGAATGCATTAAGTTGTCAGGAAGGTAAGAAAAACTAAAATCCCCCTCAAAAAAAGAGCCCCCCAAATCCACAATAATACTTACATTCTGCCAACATTCCTACTGCCTTACACTTTTTTAGTCTGCACTCTTGACATTTCCTACGCATGTACATGTCCATTTCACAGTGGCCACCATTCTTGCAATGATATACTGCATTTTTGGTGATGCTACGTCGAAAAAAACCTAATGACAAGAAAAACTACTTTTAAAATTTACGATTAGGTATTTTTAGTTGTTTTTCATTAATATATACCTTCCTAGTAAAATGGTCAAAATAAAATTATTTCAATAAAATGTGTTTTTCTATCAATAAGAAGGTTTGGTTTGATATACATTTATATTCCCTCATGATTGATAATATTCTATTCCAAGGGTATTCCTTTCAATAATCGCATCCGAAAATTAAACTAAATAGCTCCAACACATTAAGATTTTATTTTATCTATTTTACTATGGTTATACTATATCATCTAAAGCATTTTTATAACTATGTTCTGCAGACTATCAAGATTCCATGAAGCATCTCTCTAGCTGCCTTTGAAATAATATGTGCTCAGGTGAAACCTCTTTTCTGCTCTCCTCACATTTCCACCTCAACCCATAAAGGAAGAGTTACTCTTCGAAACTTAGTCCCCTGTCCTTCCTTTTTTAGCACCCCCACAGGTGAGACATTGAGTCGGCTGTGTTATGTGTGTGTGTGTTTTGGTGGAGGTATCTATATTTTCTCTTTCATTTCCTAAATCCATGCATAGCAGTCCCCCTTCCCATTTCCTCTTTTATTTCCCATTTCTCTGTAGTCACCCCTGCTACCTTCTTAATCCATTCCAAGCAGTAAAGTTGATAAGCCATGTCAATGCCTCTCTCAGAGGCCTGCCATACCTTTTTTCTGTAGCCACACTTGAGAGTGAGAGTTTCATGACTTAGATTCAACAAAGGGAGCAGAAAGGTCAGCTGAAGTCTTCAAGAACTATGCCTCATCCTCCACCTAGTTTTAACAGCAAGGCCCTGCATTTTAAGAGTAAGCAAATACATGCCCAGCTATTCTATTCACAAAGCTGGTACTTCATTTCCCACAGTCTTTATTTGGCTATTCTTTGTGAGGGGTATGCTGTGAGATTCTGACAGTAAGTCTTCACCGTGAACTTCTAATAGATATGTTTACCTAGTGCTGCATTGGCCTAAGCATTTCCAGGTCTGTCTCAACATTGCATTTGTAAATAAAAATAGTGCAGAAGTGTTTTAATACCTCGAAATTTCATCAAGGGCTATTTCACTTTTTGAAAATTTCATTGTCAATAATGATCTTTGCTTGCAAACTTCCCATTTGTTTTCAAAAAAGCATTCCAAAAGAATTAAAATAGACTCATAGAAGTCATTTAATTTCAAATTCCTTTCTAATGCATGAATTATACCAGCCGCATGAGAAGATGTATTAGTTACCATTCAGAAGGTTTTAAAAAGTCATTTTCCATTCCAATATCAGATTCATCTAGGAACACAGAAACCTCCTGCTATTATATAAATATTGAAGTTTGTATTTAAATGTAAAAGTTTTCATCAAAAATGAAAACTAAATCGGGGCGCCTGGGTGGCGCAGTCGGTTAAGCGTCCGACTTCAGCCAGGTCACGATCTCGCGGTCCGTGAGTTCGAGCCCCGCGTCGGGCTCTGGGCTGATGGCTCAGAGCCTGGAGCCTGTTTCCGATTCTGTGTCTCCCTCTCTCTCTGCCCCTCCCCCGTTCATGCTCTGTCTCTCTCTGTCCCAAAAATAAAAATAAAAATGTTGAAAAAAAAAATTTTTTTTTAAAAAAATGAAAACTAAATCAAAACTTTATTACATTCCACTTTCATGTCTTTTATGCCACAGATGGATCACCTTTAAATACATCAATGGGTCCCCCTGGTTTTCTTTTTCACACTTTAAAAAGTAAGGCTATTCTTACAGGCCTAAAATTTCATGTCTCTTCAGTGAACACTAGGACTTCAGTTTCGTTTTAACTTTATCCTTACCTTTGCAACCTTCACAAGTAAGTGCATTATAATGATATCCTGATGCTTTATCACCACAAACTACACAGAGGTCTTCCTGTCTCTTAATTCGCATAGAAGAATGAGTTAGTCTGGACCTTTTTATTCCAGAGTATCCATCTTCAACATCATGGTCAACCACATAAGTGGGTTTATTTAATTCACAGGAAACAAGTCCACATTCTCCACCACTGAACTGTGGATCCAAGCTGCAAGTGTTGAAATGACTTTGTAAAGATTGGGACTGTAGAGCTGTTGGCAACTGGACGGTAGAATACTGGCAAAAAGGCGATTCTTGAAAATCAGTGTCGTACAGCTGATAACTGATTTGCTCTGGCAGAATATCTAGGTGTTTTTAGCATAAACAAAGAACAAATGGTAAAAAGTCAAAATTTCATAATTGTTTTCAAAGGTCAAAGAGTTTTATGCTCAACAAACAGTTCAACATGTCCACTACATCCCAGAGACTTGCTGTCCAGCATGAGGAGCAGGCAGTAAACTGTATTGCAATGCATCGTAAGTGCTGCCGTCCCAGTGGTATGCAGAGGTTGCCCAGGAGCTGGGAGAAAGGACAGTCATTGCTAATGGCCTGCATACCAACTCCAGCCTCCTTCTTAAATACAAATGTGTATTTCCCAAAGTTTGGAATGAAAGAAGGTTTTCCCCACTGTATGCATTTCCCTTATTGTGGATACAACCGTTTGCAGTGCAGTGAGGCCAACAAAGAGATGAATTCATAAATTAGCACCTCCCCAAAATACCAACCTGAAATACAATTTTACCAGTTACCTGGTTATTTCAAGCAAAGAAAAATTTTTTTTCTGGGGCTCCTAGCTGGCTTAGGAGCTTAAGTCAGTTAAGCCTAGCTGGCTTAGTCAGTTAAGTGTCCAACTTCAGCTCAGGTCATGATTTCACAGTTCATGAGTTCAGTTCATGAGTTCAAGTCCCGTGTTGGGCTTTGTGCTGACAGCGTGGAGCCTGCTTGGGATTCTCTCTCTCTCCCTCTCTCTCTGCCCCTCCCTGACTCGTGCTTTCTCTCTCTCTCTCAAAATAAATAAATTAATTAAAAAAATATTATTTACTTGAACTCCCCATTTAATATACCTTAACACTCTCCTTTGCAATTCATAGGCCTGATTTAAATTACTAGTTTCTTTTGTGTTTTGTTGACTAACAGTTCTAACTAGCAATTATGTGGTGATAAGTTCACCTACCTCAAAGGGTTACTGTAAGGATAAATAAAAGATGGTATGCAAAAGCAAATATAAAACATAAAACATAAAATACAAAATAATGCTTAATGAATATCACTATTATAATTATCAGAAGCTCCCAAACACCAACTTACTTTTCACTTTCAGCAAAATTGTTAAATCTAAATCCAGAAAATTGGCTCCAAATGGATCCAGGAGTACTGAGTGCCCTATGTCTGTAACTAGCAATATTTGTACTTTTCCTGATGCTGAATCACCAGGTGATTAACCTCAAAATTCTACCAAGATCAGTAAACATTATAATTTTCATTAACTAACTCACATAAGTCACTTGCAATCTTAGAGCATTCAGTCTAATGCTAAGTGTTGAGTAAATACTAATGACCACCTGATATGAAAAGAAAGGTTATCAGTAAAAACAAAGTAACTTTTTTTAAAAGAAGAAGGTCCTTTCTGACTGAGTGTCAAAAGACTGTAGAATACTGGCTGATGTTCCATTGTCATGGCAATCCGAGTTGAAATCTCAACCCTAACCTTACCCTTAACAAGAAAACTGCCCCTAAAATAAATTTATATTACAGCCTTACTCTTTTTGGAGAAAATTTCCGTCATATCCTGCATTCTGTTTCTATTTCTTTCCCTTTGATAAAAATCTTATATCAAAATTAAAATTTCAAGTATATTGAATAGCACTCTGAGCTACATTTACTAAATTGCATGTGAACTAGCTACAACTAACTCCTAAAACAACTTCTAATGTGCATGTTAATTCACATTTTAAAAATTAAATACAATTTTGTACTATCTTGATTTTCCCTCCTTTTTTTTTTTAAAGTTTATTTATTTTGAGAGAGAGAGAGTACTCCTGCAGGCACACGGACGAGGGTCAGAGCAAGGGAGAGAGAATCCCAAGCAGGCTCCTAGCTATCAGCACAAAGCCCGACTCAGGGCTCCATCCCATGAACTGTGAGATCATAACCTGAGCCAAAATCAAGAGTCTGATGCTCAACCGACTGAGTTACCCAAGCACGCTGGGCTTTTCCCTTTTACAATTGATTCTGGCTTAGAATATTTTCATATTACTGATTTTTTAAATTATATTCTCATAGAGGGAATAATTTTTTATTAAGTTTTTTATTTTAATTCCTCTTGTTGAGAATAATTTAAAGTCTTTGGTTTACTTGTTTATTTCTTTTTTTAAAAAAACCCTATTATTAACCAATATTACACACACACAAAAATGTTTTATTAACTATTATACTGTATTTGTCTACATACCATAGTACTGCACTGGTTCAGCAAGACAGTACCCATCAGATGTAGTAACATAAGTATTTGCCATTCTCTGGTCCAATTCTCACTTACTCATCAGTGAATGCTGAAATAGAGCCTGAAGGAAATAAAACTTTTGTAGACTATCTGAA